CTGAAATTGCAGAAGGCAATTCACTTGTCTCCCCTCCCCTTAGCACCTGGTGCTCTGAAACACAAGCTCACATCTCCCATGGGTTTGTTGGGGTTTTTTTCCCTCCCCCTTTTTAGCAGGTTGGATTCTATTTATTTCTTTATGATGATTTTTTTTATACGTCTGATGAAATAATGTCCTGCCCTGAGTGACTGGGAGTTCACTGGTGCCTGAGACAAGGCAAAAGAGTTGGTCATGCTCCAAACCCCCCAGAAAAACCAGGTTTTGTGAGAAGCTTTTGAGGGAAATGAGAACTGGCTGGACAGGAGCACCATGAACTGGCCCTGGCAGGTTGGCAAGGACTGAACCCCTTCCTTCATGGGAATCCACTTGGGATCAACTTGAAAGGAACTGAGATTCCTGGTTATCCATCCATCCTCTGCCCCAAGAGGCCCTCTCATTGCTAGAAATATTCCCAGATGTTGAAAGGTCTGTGTTTATTTTCCTTAATGAGATCCTTGGCTTTTCCCCCTTCTCTCTCTCCTGGTATTGGAGGATGGATCTTTGGAAGGGGTTTGGGAAAGGAGGAGGCTTCCCAGTTCCCATGGGAATCCTGCCCCTCCAGCTGCCTGGAATCAGGGTGAGGAGCAAGGGGGGGGCTTTTCCTAGACTTTGAGGTGAGCTGGGATTTGGAGGAGCTGCCTGGGATCACCCTGGGAAGGGGGAAAGGGGGGTTTTGCCTCCTGAGTGTCTGTGGTTTGTGCTGCTGGGAGGGCAGGAGGTTGGTGGCTGGAGATGGACATGGTTGTGATTCCTGGGCATCTCCCAAAACCTGGGGAAACGTGGCTGGGCAGTGTGTGGAGAGGAGGCTGTGCTGTGGGTTTTTTTGGAGCTTTGAAACAGGGTGGGATTGGCCTACCCTGTGGCTTTGGGGTGGTTTGGTTTCTCTCCTCTTTGTGCTCATCTGGTCTTCTGAAAACTGGGAGGTGCAGGACAGGTTTGGCTGCAGGGAGCAGGGAGGAGAAACCTGCTGGGGGGTCTCCTGAGGCTTCAGATAGGCCTGGGCAGGTGAGGTTTCCCACCTGGAGCAAACTGCAGTGGTTTTAGTCCAACCAGGGCTTAATGGTGTGGTACCTGCACTCGCCAGCAGCCACATTTCTGCTCCAAAACATCTCGGGTGTCCTGAGGCTGTTTGGGTGTCCCTGGGGGAGCTGAACTGCAGCAAACTGCAGAACTGGGGTCTCCATCTTCAGCTGCTAAGAGGCCAGAAGTTGCCCTCAGATTAAATCTTGTCCTGTGACTTCCATCCACATGAAATAAGTGATAATTACTGAGAGGGGTGGTTCATTGCTGTGTCTTCCCAAGCAACAAGAAAGACACAAAACCAGCCAGAAGGGCTTCTGATATTTTTCTTTTCTCATTTAGATTTTTCTTTTAACATTTTTCTCCCCCTTCCCCTCATTCTCCTTTCAGCAATCATCCCTTTACCAGCTCCTACACTCTGGCTGGCCGGTGAGTGTTTCCCCTTCAGCAGCTTTGCTGTGGCTTTGCTTTTCCCTCAGCTTCAGCAGCTGGGTTTGCCTCTCTCCAGGCACATCAGGGAGATTTGTTTGACTGACACTTCTCTTTTTCCATCCAGAGAAAACCCGGAGCCCCTGGACCCCCAGGACATCCAGGGAAAACAGGAGCACCTGTAAGTAAGGAAAGCCCCAGTGTCCCCTCTCCCAGCTGCCACCCAGCCTGACCTGGGGCAGCTTGAAGGGTCCATGCCCCAGGGACTTGCAGGCTCCTGGGCTGACCCTAAAAAGTATCTGCTGCCCTGTAGTTGAGGGCCTTGGGTTGGGTTTCAAAGAAGCCTGATGGTTTGTTTTGTCCACTTCCCACCCAAACAATGTGATAGGACAGAGGGGAGCAGCTTTAAACTGGAAGAGGGGGGATTGAGGTGGGACATGAGGAAGAAATTATTTGCTGTGAGGGTGGTGAGACCCTGGCCCAGGTTGCCCAGAGAAGCTGTGGCTGCCCCATCCCTGGCAGTGTTGAAGGGCAGGTTGGATGGGGCTTGGAGCAGCCTGGGCTGGTGGGAGGTGTCCCTGCCCATGCAGGGGGTGGGATTGGATGGTCTTTAAGGTCCCTCCAACCCAAACCAGTCTGTGGCTCTATGATCCTGTGCCCCCCAGGGGATGGTTGGTACCCAGGTCCCTGGGTTTCCCTGTGTCCCTGCCCCTGTGGCTGCCAGCTCAGCAGTGCTGGCTTATCCTCCCCCAGGCACTGGGTTCCTGCCCCCCGTTTTGATAAGGACCATGTGGGGCCCTTCCAGAGCCACAAAACCCAGCCTGAGACCAGCTGGAGTGGCCCTCGTGTGGGACCAGCCCCATACTGGTGGGTCTGCAGCCCCCAGGATCACTGGATGATGCTCCCCTGCCCCCTGCCTGGCTTCTGCCAACTGTGAGGCAGAGGAAACGAAGGCAGAACTCTCCATCCTGCCCTTCTGTGGGGCACCAAAGCACCATCTGCTTCCCAAGCTGCCCTGGCCACAGCCCCCCTGGGGAAGGACAGGGGGGTGGCAGATCCCCCCTGTCTGCCCTGCTCGGTGCCAGCCCTGCCTCCCAGGTCTTGGGATGCTCCCAGGGTGGGCTGAGGGGGCACATTTGTTGACTCAGCCCCATGTTTGTGCTCAGGGACCCCACGGAGATCCTGGGGAGCCGGGTGAGAAAGGGCAGCGGGGACACAAGGTGAGTGGGGGGCTCTGCAGAGCCCCCAGGGAGGGGTGGGAGGTGCCCCAGGGGTGGGTGGTCCCAGGGTCCCTGGGCTCAGCTCAGCACAGCCCCTCCAGGTGCTGGACTCTGCCATCTGTGCCCTGGTGCCTTCCCAGGCAGGTGGACACAGGTTGCCATGGTTTGTCCTCCAAGTGTTGTGTTCCTTCTGGGAACCCCCCACCTCCTGCCCTGTGGCTCTGTCAGCTTCACTGTCCTCCCTGCTGGGAGCTGCTGGGACCTGGATACAGCCCAGGCTGAGCCAGCAGGGCTGCTGTGGGGCTTGGGTGCCCCGTGGGTGAAAGGAAAGGAGAGCAGGTGTCCCAACCTCCCAGCATGGCTGGAACCTCTCACCTGTGCTTGCTGCTACCCAGCCCTTATGGGAAGAGCTGGTGCATCCCAGTTCTTGTCCCTCTCAACAGAGTCCATGTCCCTCAGCACCTCCCTGCCTCCTGCTTGGTTGTCCTGGGTGTTGCTGGGCTGCTCTGAAGGGACAGCAGTGCCCAGCCCTGCTGCTTCCCATGTCCCTGCTGCTCCTCATGGCCCTGCTGCTGCTCCTCATGTCCCTGCTGCTGCTCCTCATGTCCCTGCTGCTCCTCATGGCCCTGCTGCTGCTCCTCATGTCCCTGCTGCTCCTCATGGCCCTGCTGCTCCTCATGTCCCTGCTGCTGCTCCTCATGTCCCTGCTTCTCCTCATGTCCCTTCACTGTCCTCCCTGCTGGGAGCTGCTGGGACCTGGATACAGCCCAGGCTGAGCCAGCAGGGCTGCTGTGGGGCTTGGGTGCCCCGTGGGTGAAAGGAAAGGAGAGCAGGTGTCCCAACCTCCCAGCATGGCTGGAACCTCTCACCTGTGCTTGCTGCTACCCAGCCCTTATGGGAAGAGCTGGTGCATCCCAGTTCTTGTCCCTCTCAACAGAGTCCATGTCCCTCAGCACCTCCCTGCCTCCTGCTTGGTTGTCCTGGGTGTTGCTGGGCTGCTCTGAAGGGACAGCAGTGCCCAGCCCTGCTGCTTCCCATGTCCCTGCTGCTTCCCATGTCCCTGCTGCTCCTCATCTCCCTGCTGCTTCCCATGTCCCTGCTGCTCCTCATCTCCCTGCTGCTTCCCATGTCCCTGCTGCTCCTCATCTCCCTGCTGCTTCCCATGTCCCTGCTGCTCCTCATCTCCCTGCTGCTCCTCATCTCCCTGCTCACCCATCTACTGGAGCAACCACCTTCCTTCAGCCCTCCAGAGTTTCTCATCCTTCATAGCATCTCCCCAGGAGCCTTAACCACAGCACCGTGGTCCCCTTGGCTCCCTCACAGAGAAGACCTTCCTTTCCTCCTGCCATCTGATTTGTCATCATCTCTTCCTCTCCAAAACTGGGCTGGATTTTCCTCTGGCTTAAGAAGAAGAGGCAAGGACAGGCTGGGCTTCCATGGATCAATGCTGAGGGAGGATTTGGATGGGCTGGTGAGCAGGACATGGGCTGGTTCCTTGCAGGTGTGTTCAACCTGTGAGTCCCAAAAAGCCAAGTCAAAAGCTGATATTGTGGGGAAGGGATGCAGCTATGGCATCAACCACTGCTTCTGCTCTCCATCACATGTCCTGCTGCCAGGTGTCCTGTCACCCCTGGCCCCACTGCCTCCCAGAAGGCTTGTGCCCCCAGGGATAGTGTTTTACCAGCTGCCAACATCTGGAAGGCATCACTGACTGGGTCAAGCCAGCTGAGTGCAAACACTGGAGTCTGTCAGTGTAACTCAACCAAAAGGTGTCAAAGTTTGTTTTCCACCTTCACATGAACAGGGTCTGCAAAGGGGCAGCAGCAGGTCAGGGTGGGGGGGAGCACAGAGATGGAAAGGAGCAAATGTTTTCTACCCATCACAGTCCATCTGCAAGTCTGATGTCTTCAGCTTGGGGGCTTTTGTCATGGCCACAGCCCTGTCCCCAGCCCCCTGCTCTCCTGCTCTTGCTTTGGCATCTGCTGAAGGCTTTGCCTACTGGGTTCCCAGCAGGAAAACTCAACTTGACTTTGGACTCAGCTCTTGACCAGGCTGGGATAGGTTTTTTTTGAAGGCTTAGGTTTCTACTAGACCTTGGCCCAAGAGGTGTTTGGTGCTGCCTCCAGCAGGTCTGCACTCCCTGCTCCCACTGTCCAGGGGAGGCTGATCAGAGGGCAGCAGGGGTGAGGAAGAGGAGGAAGGATTTCACCCACATGCATCACCCCTGAGCACACGGTTGGCTTGGGTTTGCCCGTGGCCAGTTGTGCATTTGGCCCATCTGCTGGGGCTTGTCTGCCCCAGAGCATGGCCAGAGGTGCCACAGCCCGTGTCTCTTGCTTGAAAAACTGCAAATCCCAGTAAATATTCCCTGGAGCTGAGACTGGAAGTGGAATGGGGCAAAAAACCCCACTGGCTTTTGGGCTGGGTGCTCCAAGCATGGGTGGCCAGCAGGGGAGACATGGGTGCCTGGCTCTGTGATGCTGAAGCCCCTGGGGAAGCAGCAAATCTCCCCCAAACAAGCTTTTGTAGCTTCACAAACCAGATTCTCCACTTGAGGAGTAACGAGGCAGCTGCACCTTTCTGCCCTTCCTTCCAGCTCTGACTTCACAAACTAAACCAAAGTCTCCAGCCTTTGGGTTTGACCAAAATTGTTGAGAAATCTAAACAGAACGATTTGAAGGGAAATGTCTTCTCTTGGATCCCTTTATCCTGCCTCAGTTCAGCACTGACAGTGAGCTAAGGGGTTAAAAAAGGCTGGTGATGCCCAGTCCAGAGGATCTGCTCAGGCTCCTGCACGTGGGAAAGCATCACAAATGGCTTTGGGCATCAACCCCAGACCTTCTTCCCTGCCTTCACCTGGGGCTTGAAGCAACCTGGTCTAATGGGAGGTGTCCCTGCCCTTGCAGGGGGGTGGGACTGGATGATCTTTCAGGTCCTTCCAACCCAAACCATTCTCAGATCCCTTCCCTGCCTCCTTGAGAGCTCCTTGGTGTTGAGCAGGTGTTGCTGCAACAGCATCAGGCAGGTCAGAGCTCAGCCTTTAATTTGTTGGTTTCATAATGACGTGGAGTTGTTGATTTTCTGTGCTTGGCTTTTTTTCTCCCCAGGGTGAGCCTGGGCTCCAGGGCTCCCCAGGACGTGCAGGTTACCCAGGCTCAGATGGTCTCCCTGGCCTGGATGGCAAACCTGGGCCATGGGGGCTGCCAGGGGAGCAGGTGAGCCACAAACAAGCAGGCAGGGTCACAACGTGGTCACCATCCAGGTGGGGAAGCCACAGCCCCAGGCAGGAGACTCTGACTTCACAAACTAAACCAAAGTCTCCAGCCTTTGGGTTTGACCAAAATTGTTGAGAAATCTAAACAGAACGATTTGAAGGGAAATGTCTTCTCTTGGATCCCTTTATCCTGCCTCAGTTCAGCACTGACAGTGAGCTAAGGGGTTAAAAAAGGCTGGTGATGCCCAGTCCAGAGGATCTGCTCAGGCTCCTGCACGTGGGAAAGCATCACAAATGGCTTTGGGCATCAACCCCAGACCTTCTTCCCTGCCTTCACCTGGGGCTTGAAGCAACCTGGTCTAATGGGAGGTGTCCCTGCCCTTGCAGGGGGGTGGGACTGGATGATCTTTCAGGTCCTTCCAACCCAAACCATTCTCAGATCCCCTCCCTGCCTCCTTGAGAGCTCCTTGGTGTTGAGCAGGTGTTACTGCAACAGCACTAGGCAGGTCAGAGCTCAGCCTTTAATTTGTTGGTTTCATAACGACGTGGAGTTGTTGATTTTCTGTGCTTGGCTTTTTTTCTCCCCAGGGTGAGCCTGGGCTCCAGGGCTCCCCAGGACGTGCAGGTTACCCAGGCTCAGATGGTCTCCCTGGCCTGGATGGCAAACCTGGGCCATGGGGGCTGCCAGGGGAGCAGGTGAGCCACAAACAAGCAGGCAGGGTCACAACGTGGTCACCATCCAGGTGGGGAAGCCACAGCCCCAGGCAGGAGACAAGAGGCTCCTAAAGCTGCTGTTCTTCATGTTCCCTTGTCTCCTTTAACTAAAACATTCCTGATCAGCCTACAAACCCAGGCAGTCCTGGGTTAGTGCCTCGAGGTTCTTGTTTCCCAAAAATCAAGCTGTAGAACATCACACTTGTGTGTCAAGGTGGGATAACCCAAGGGCTGCAGAACCTGCCTCGTGGTGGGTCTGAACTCAGGGCTGGGCTGCTCCTCTGCACCTGAACCTCCCTGGGGGGAAGAACAACTTGGGGAGAAAAGGACTTGGGGGGGTGATGGGGGGGGGGAAGAAAGAAATGGAAGCAATTCTGGAGTGCCTGGCTCGTGTCCAAGCCCTAGAGTTGGCCACTTGGTAGTGTGATGCTCCCTGTCCTTTCCCAGCCCCCTGGCAGCAATCTCTGGGGAATGTGGGCAGCACACCTGGGCTTGGAAGCTTTCTCAGGGGGCTTTTGGAGGATGGTGACAGGGGCTGGGCCATGCTGAGAACTTGGGGGCTCTCAGCAGCCCCCTGGGAGCCTACACTGGGGTGGCCAAGGGCAGGAGCTGCTGGTACAGGGGCTGGAACTGGCCATGGTGGGAGGTGCTGGGCAGCCCCTCAGCACCCTCTCTGCTCCTTCCTCCCTCTCCCCAGGGACTGCAGGGCTTCCAGGGTGACCAGGGGCTGGCTGGTGAGAAAGGAGAAGAGGTAAGGTGGCCCTGGGTGGCTCTGTGCTGGGGACAAGCAGCCAGGCTTTCCCTCTGGAGCTGCCTCGTTTAGCAACGAGCTGGAGGGTCCCCACCTCCCTGCACCCCACGGGCAGTCCCTGGGGGCACAGCAGTCGTGTTGTGGCTCCTGATGGTCCAGCTGGGACTCAACGTGTCCTTGTTCCTGTTTCAGGGTTTCTTGGGTGACCCTGGACCAGCTGGGGAGAAAGGAGAGAAGGGAGCAAAGGTGAGAGTGGCTGAGTCTGCTCTTCACAGCTCTGCCTGGCCCAGGCAGTGGGTTGTTCTTCTCTGGCCCCACAGGCCCTGCTCTCCTCCATTGCTCAGGCTGCTTTTGGCTTTTCCAGGGGTTGAAGGGAGAAAATGGCCTGCCAGGTCCTGCTGGGCTTCAGGTGAGTCCCTGGGGAAGCCTGGGATGTCTCACACCCTGCTGTGCTGGGATTGCTCCTTCCCCCCACCCCTTTTCCTTCTCTGCAATGGCCCCAAGCTCCATCCCTGGCTCCAGACCATCTTCTCCTGGCTTTGGGCAAAGCCCTTGTGGTCTCTGTGCTTTCCCTGACCCTCCTGGAAGGGATGGGGCAGAGGCAGCTCAGGGTGGACACCTCCCTGACACCCAGCTCCTTGCTTCTCTCCCAGGGGATGTCAGGCCTGAAGGGGGTGATGGGCTTCCCAGGCCCCGTGGGGCTGCAGGTGAGTGGGTTTGTTTTGTGTCACCAGCCCTCCCTGGAGCAGTGCAGGACCCTGCTGCTCCCCCCTGGAAAGATGGGTCTGAGGAGGGAGGACTTGGGCTTTTCAGGTCACTTAGTGATTTGTTCTTACAAAATACTTGTTCATTCTTTTTTTGGGGGGGTTGTTTTGGGTTTTTTTCTGAGAGCTGAACCTAAACTGCATCTTTATCTTGGTCCTGGAGGTGGCTCTGCTCCATGAGGATATTGCCCATATATTGCCCCAGAGCCACCAGGCACAAGGTTCCACTGCATGTTGGTGGCAGGAGCTTCCCCTTTGCCTCCAGCACCTCCCACATGGACCTTTGCAGCCCAGCTCTTTCTCCTGGTGATGGAGGGAAATGAGCCTTTGCAGAGCAGGTTCCATCGTGGTTTATTTTAGGTGATCACCTTCAGCTGAGATGGGGCTGTGACAGCACTTGGGTTTTCCCATGTTGCCCTCAACGTTCTGATGGCTGCACGTGGTTGGGAGGCACAGCAGGCAGGGAAGGGCTTGTCCAGGGCTGAAAAGGAGAATGGAAGTGGTTTGGTGGTGGTGAATGGAAGCAGGAAGGGAGTAGGGGAGCTGGGGGTGGCCTGGTAGCTGTTGGAAGGGACATGGAGTGGCTTGGTGTGAAGAACAAGGGGGGATTTGGGATGGGAAGGCTGGAAGGGGAGAATCGAAGCACAAGAGGCTGCAGAAGTGGCACCTTGTCTCTCCTGCTCCAGGGTGAAGGTGGCTCAGTGGGTTTCCCAGGCCCTGTTGGTCCCAAGGTAAGTCAGTCACAGCTTTTTGGGTCCAACAGCAGCTGAGGGGGTGGCTGGGCTGGGACCACCACGTCCTGCCCTGCTTCATCCCTGCTTGGCAGCTGGAAGGGACGTGGCTGCTTAAAATGCAGCCCTTGGGTAGTGGGAGTCATTGGGGAGGGAGCTGCAGAAGGACAAATGGTGTTAAAACTCATATACCACCAGTAAAGCTTCCCCAGCATCCCCACCAACCTCTGCTCCCGTGGAAGAAGCCCCAGGGGGTCCCATCCCACCCCCTCCTTTGTGGTGCCAGTGGCCACAGGGCTGAGCACCATCCTGTGTTCCAGGGAGAGCCAGGCCAGCCAGGACCTGTTGGATGCCAGGGTGTCAATGGCTCTGAGGTGGGTCTGCCCTGCTTCCCCTCCTTTGCTCTTTTGGATTTTCCAGCCACCTTGTTCCATCTCTGCTCTCTCCCCAGGGAGAAACAGGCCCTCCTGGCTTGCCTGGTCCCCAGGGACCCAAGGTACGTTGAGTTGTGCCTGCACCAGGGGATGAGGGAGGTGTAGGTTGGATATTAGGAACAAATTCTTCCCCAAAAGGGCTGTCAGGCCCTGCTCAGGCTGCCCAGGTGGAGTCCTCATCCCTGGAGGGGTTTCCAAGCCCTGGAGATGGTGCTGAGGGACAGTGGGGACTGGGCAGGGCTGGGGGAAGGGTTGGACTGGGTGATGTTCAAGGTCTTTTCCAACCCAAACAGTTCTATGAACAAACCTGGTAGTGATGGGATGTCTTGGGATAACTGGTGGGAGAGCTGGGGTGGGAGGGGGTCCTGAGGATCACCCCACCTGGAGGGATCTCCTCCAGCTGGGCTGGGATCTCAGCTCACCTCAAAGAAGCTGAAATGGGGGTGGGAATCCTTTCTCTAACCCCTTGCTCACACCTCCCATCGGGCAGCCCTGGAGCTCCTCAGCAGCAGGACAATTCCCTGGGGAGGTTTTCGCACCCCAAGGATTCAATTCTAACAGCAGCTCCTTGTCCCCCACCACTTTGCAGGGACCTCAGGGCTTGCAGGGCAGACGTGGCCCCCAGGGCCCCAGGGGCTCACAGGTAGGTGGGTGATGTCCTGGGCTGGAGCCCACCTTGGCTCAGAGGAATCTGAGTGAGGAAGGAGCTGCTGGGGCTTGTCCCCTACGTGCTTTGCAAATGGGCATGAAGTCCTTGGCCCTGCAGTTCTTCATGGCTCATGTTCCATGGGCAGGACAAGCAGGCAAGGGGGGGACAAAGGGAAAGGTGACCTCGTGGGGATGTGGTCCCTGGGGTGGGACATGCAACTCCTGGGGGGCTGGGCAGGGGTCCTATGGGCTGGGGTCTCACCTACACAGCAGGAGAGTGAGCAGCACCCCCTCTTCTCCCAACCTTGACACCCCCTTTTCCTCAGGGCCCTGCTGGGATGGAGGGATCCACTGGTCCCAAAGGAGACACCGTAAGAGCTTCACATTTCTTGCTCTGAGGACAAAAAGTTGCCCAGGGAGGTTGTGGAGTCTCCATCCCTGGAGACATTCCAACCCCACCTGGATGTGTTCCTGTGGGATCTGCTCTAGGGGATCCTGCTCTGGCCAGGGGGGTGGGACCAGATGATCTCCAGGGGTCCCTTCCAAGCCCAACCATTCTGTGATTCCAGCTGGTTGGCTTCCACCCTGGTGGTGATCAACCCTGGGCTTCAGGGCTTTCCCTGGAAGGACCTGGGAGGTGGGGTGAGATGTCCCTGCTCCCACTTTTGGAGGGGAGGAGGGGGCAGAGACCTCATAAAATGAAGGCTTGGGGGGTCCCTGGCAGCCCTGGGGAGGGAACACAGGGGGGCTGGCTGCTCTCTGCCCTGCAGGGCACAGGCTGGTGCCAGAACTTCTCTTGCAGGGCACAGAGGGTGTCCCTGGGCTGAGGGGACAGCCAGGACAGGAGGGCCTTGGGGTAAGTCCATGGGGGCTGGGGGCTCCTATCCTGCTCCCCCAGCCCTGCAGGGGAAGGTCCTGCTGCCCCCAGCTCCCCCAGCTCCCCACAGTGTTTGGGTCACAGGAGCTGCTGGGGATGAGGGTTCCATCTCTATCACCATGCTCCTCATCTCCAGACTCTGAAGGAGGGACCTTGACTTTTTTTATTGCCTTTTTATTTTAATTTCCTGAGGATTTCTCAGCAGAGCTGCCCCAGCCCCATCCCTGCCCTGCTGCACCTTTTCCCAAGGGATTAGGGTGCTTCCCCTTTCCCAGGGGCCAGGGCAGCCTGTCTGTCCCATCCCCCTGCCTGTCCCACCACGTCCCACCTGAGGTCACAGCCCGTGCTGTGTTTGCTTTTCATGCTGCAGCTCCAACCTGCAGAGCTGGAAACTGGTGCTTGCACCAGGGATAGAGGGTGGGAGGCAGGTGTGCACCTTGGAGGCTGACAAGGACCTTGTCCCCCTGCTCTTGGGGCTGCTTTGGGGGTGGGGGCAGCCTTGGCAGGGCTCCTACATCCCCTGGACCCTTCTGGAGAGCAAATCCCCCCATGGCATCAGCAGCAGCATCTCTGCAGAGCTGAGCTGGTGTCTCCCATTTACCAGCATCTTCCCAGCCCACAGTGTGGGAGGGTTGTCACTCTCCACGAGTGCACATGATATTTTTCCTTTGTGTTGTGTTTTTCGTCATGTTGTGGGGTGTTTTTTTATTTTACTAAATGTGTAATTTGTGTCTCTCTCTGAAGGGCTTTCTTGGCCTGCCACTCCAGACTCTGAAGGAGGGACCTTGACTTTTTTTTATTGCCTTTTTATTTTAATTTCCTGGGGATTTCTCAGCAGAGCTGCCCCAGCCCCGTCCCTGCCCTACTGCACCTTTTCCCAAGGGATTAGGGTGCTTCCCCTTTCCCAGGGGCCAGGGCAGCCTGTCTGTCCCATCCCCCTGCCTGTCCCACCACGTCCCACCTGAGGTCACAGCCCGTGCTGTGTTTGCTTTTCATGCTGCAGCTCCAACCTGCAGAGCTGGAAACTGGTGCTTGCACCAGGGATAGAGGGTGGGAGGCAGGTGTGCACCTTGGAGGCTGACAAGGACCTTGTCCCCCTGCTCTTGGGGCTGCTTTGGGGGTGGGGGCAGCCTTGGCAGGGCTCCTACATCCCCTGGACCCTTCTGGAGAGCAAATCCCCCCATGGCATCAGCAGCAGCATCTCTGCAGAGCTGAGCTGGTGTCTCCCATTTACCAGCATCTTCCCAGCCCACAGTGTGGGAGGGTTGTCACTCTCCACGAGTGCACACGATATTTTTCCTTTGTGTTGTGTTTTTTGTTATGTTGTGGGGTGTTTTTTTATTTTACTAAATGTGTAATTTGTGTCTCTCTCTGAAGGGCTTTCTTGGCCTGCCAGGTCCAAAGGGCAGCCAAGGAGAGCAGGTGAGTGATAGCACCATCCAGCCCAGCCTGGGGGGGCAGGAGAGCAGCCCAGAGCTCCATGTTCTCTGTGCTTGGACTGGAAGAGGTGGCACCTGCAGTTGGTTGGGGAGGCAGAAGCTGTAGGAGATCTCAGACATGACAGTTTGCCCTAAGATTGTGTCTGCTCTGGGAAGGTCTGGGGAGCTGGGGATACTTTGGCCTGTGCTTAGGAGCACAGTCATGAGGACAAGGTGCTCAGCATCCTGCTGATGCCAGGATGGTGCTGCTGGGGTTCCACCACCTGTCCTAGCTGCTCAGGAGTGGTGGGACTGGCACAGGGTGCTGGGGACACTGAGGCTTTGGTGGGGAGTGAACCCAGAAGCTTTGGAGCTCACCCACCATGAGAAGCAGATCCAGCACCTGCTCCCAGCTCCCAATCTCAGGTCTAAATTGGGCAAAACTAACTTGGATGCCAAAAAAAAGAAAGGATCACAGGATGCTTTAGTTGCAAGGGGTGGCACAAGGTGGTTTTCTGAGCACACCCTCCTCCTCTGCTGCCCTTGCAGGGCTGTCGAGGTCCACGTGGAGCCAAGGGAGCCCTGGGAGCCCAAGGAGACAAGGTACCATGTCCCCAGGCTTGGGTGGGGATTCCTTCAGCTGATTCCTCTTTTGTTGTTGAAATGTGCTGTTTTTCCAGCTGGTAGATGGGTTGGTGGGGATGTCCAGGGCCCAGCATCTGGTTTTGGGGACCCTGAGAGCTGGGCAGCTCAGACTGTGCTCCATCCCACCACGTTGCCTCTCTGATCTGTGCTTTCCTGCTGCATCTGCTGAAAACCTTCTCTTGCCCCACTGCTGGTGCCCCAGGGATGCTGTTGAAGGGGGGTTCACCCAGGGTGGGTGCCCCACACCAAAAGCTGGGTGTGCAGAGAGCCAGGGCAGCCAGTGATGGGTTCTCCAGGGGGATCCTGCCCGTGGGTGGGGGACCCCCAGGCCACAGCTGTCCCCCCTGTTTGCAAACCTTGCTGGGACCTGCTGTGTCTTCTTCCTCCAAGGGTCCCCAAGGAGCACAAGGAGCAAAAGGAGCTGCAGGGAGTCGGGGCCAGCCAGGCTTGCAGGGCTTCCCTGGCCCCCGAGGAGCAGCAGGACCCCAGGGACCAGAGGTAAGTGCTGTGGCTGGTCCAGGCTGACCCATCCGTGCAGACATCCCTGCCCCCACTGCTGGCCTGTCAGAGGTGCTGTGGGGAGGGGACAGCCCAGGGTGCCCAGGGAAGCTGTGGCTGCCCCATCCCTGGCAGTGTTGAAGGGCAGGTTGGATGGGGCTTGGAGCAGCCTGGGCTGGTGGGAGGTGTCCCTGCCCATGCAGGACCAGATGATCTTTCAGGTCTCTTCCAAGCCAAACCAGTCTGGGATTCTGTGATCCCTCTGCCTCATCCTACCTCCCCTCCAGCATCTCAGCCATCTCTGCCACCCTGCCCTGCCTCTTCCTCCTCCTGCAGGCTGAAGGCAGGGGGCTGTCCCCCCCAGAAAGCCCACCTGGCAGCAGCTCTGGTGTTTCCTCACTTGCTGGGGTGGTAGGTGCTAGGACCCCTCCAGTGGCACCTCCTTCTGCACTGCTCAGACACTGCTGTCCCCTCAGCCCCCATCCTCGGGGTCACAGGTGCCCCCAGAGCCACAGCACTTGGCACCAACCAAGCTCTGCCCCTGCTGCTCCAGCCCCCTCAGCTCTGCCCCCATCACTGACCCCAGATTAGCTGGTGGGTTCAGTGATGTGAGGAGAGAGCAGCTTTAGTGGGGGCTCCCCAGCAGGTCCGAGGGCATCTCTCCTGGTCTTGACCCTGCCCAGCTCCTGAGACCCAAGCACAGCAGCTCTCAAGGAGCCACAGGAGCAAGGCACAGGTTTCAGGGTGCTTGTTGTCCCTGCAGTGTGTGCTCAGAGTGCCCTGTCAGGATGGACAACCCCAGCTGCAGATCAGTATTCCCACCTGGGAGCTGGAGCTGGGCTGCCTGCTCACCTCCAGTGATCCCCAGCTTCTAAAGGGAAGGGGGGATCATATTTTCCCACCCACCTTCCTGGTCTGTAACCTCCCCTGCATGTGATGCCCTCCCTCTCACAGGGCTTTTGGGATTCCTGCCTGGATCTGCCCTCACATTCACTCCTAGGGTGAGAAACCAATTCTCCCAGCTCTCCAAGAGGGGGAGGCACAGCAGGACTCACGTCCCTGCCTCTTCCACCCAGTGGAGCAGCTCTGCCCTCCCTGGCACCTGCAGCTCTGCCTGCCCCCCAGGCCTTGCAAACACCTTCCATTCCATCTGCAAGGAGCAACAAATACTCATCTCTGCTGTTTTGGGCCAACACTAGGCTGAGGTTGTTTTTTTTTCCTGGCCAGTTTTATACTCCTGGTGCATGGGGAAAGTCCTCTCCCCCACTCCAAAGCTTGGCTGGTGCCCCAGGTCACATTGTCATGTCATTCATGTCACCTCTGGCCACAGTCCCTGCTTCCCTATCCTGCAGGAGGCAGGGGGGGTGGCTGGGGGAGCAGAGGACCAGAGCTTGGGTTTCAGCCAGGATGCACAATTGTTCTGCTTGGAAAAGACCTGCAAGATCATCCAAGTCCAACCATGAATCCAACTCTAGTGAGTCTGGTGTTAGACCATGGCCCTCAGCACCACTTTTAAGCACCTCCAGGGATGGTGATTCAACTACCTCCCTGGGCAGCCTGTGCCAGTGCTTGATGACCCTTTGAGTGAAGGAGGTTCTTCTAACATCCCCTCTGTTTGCCCTGCCTGAGTCCTCTCCTCTCTCCTGGCAGGGAGAAGAAGGCCAGATTGGCCCCGTGGGGCTGAACAGCAGCGAGGGACCCAAGGTCAGCACAGCAGGGTGCCCAGGTTCCCCTCCCTCCTCCTCACCTGCAGGGTCCCCTCCCTCCTCCTCACCTGCAGGGTCCCCTCCCTCCTCCTCACCTGCAGGGTCCCATCCCTCCTCCTCACCTGCAGGGTCCCATCCCTCCTCCTCACCTTGTCCTGCACCCAGGGGACAGAGCCACCATGTCCCCCTGGGGAGGGTCCCTGCAGGGCTGGATGTGTCCCCTCGGGGGGTGCAGAGAGACCTGCAGGGTTGGCCTTAAAACGATTTGTACTTCAGTTTGTGCTTCCCCTTGTGTGAACTGCAGGGAGGCCGAGGACCTGATGGCCCAAAGGGAACCCCAGGACCACGGGGAGCCCGGGTAACTATCGGGGTGCTGGTGCTTCCAGCGGGATCCTGGAGCACTTTTGGCCTGGGGGAGATGGAAACAACCCTGGAGACCCCTGGCTGGGGGGCTTGGGATGTGCTGGGGCTGAGCCAGGGTGGCTGCAGGCACTGCCTTTGCCCCCAGCCCTGCAGCCTGGGGCTGGCAGGGGGATGTTCCCCTGATCCCTCCTGTTTTCCAGGGCCGTGTGGGGCAGCGAGGGCTGGTGGGAGTTCCCGGGGTGCCCGTAAGTACCAGGTGTCCTGGTGCCAGCAGTGCTGGGATGGGGGAGCCACCTCTTGGGAAGCCACATCCTGGGATGTGGCTGGGTGGAAGGGGTTGGGTTCTGCTTGGGAATCTGCCCGGGATCCATGGGGGATGAGCAGTTGACTCTTCTGCACGTTGCATGGAGTGTTGTGAGAAACCACCTGCCCAGCACCACAACTTCCCCCTTAGCCTCGAGCAGGGAACATCCAGGAAATAACAACTCTGGTTTTTAAGGAAAAAAAAAGCTCAGTTATTCAGAGTCGTGGCTGGTGAAGGAACCAGGAACAAAGAGCTGCAGGGAAAGGGGGAAAAAAAACCCCCATGATGGAGGTGTTCACAGTGGGAAGGAGTTTCCTTCCTGACTCATTTCCCAGCAATCTCATCCAAGGGTGGGATGGAGCAGGGAGGAGCTGCAGGAGCTCTGCAGGGATGAGCCCCATGCACCAAGAAACCCCAGTCCAGAGCAGAGGGCACCCCAGGGACTCTGCCACCATTTGTCTGTCACCTCTTCATACTGGGAGGAGGCTCTGGGGGTGGATGAGCCCTTGATGGGGGAACCCTGTCACCAGGCTCTGCTTTCCTGAGGTGAGACTCTCCTTCCAGGGCTCACGGGGCATGCCAGGAGCAGAAGGCACAGAAGGAAAGCCTGGTACACAGGTTCCCATCCTACACTCTGTACTTGGCTGTGGGTGAGGGCTGGGCTGAGGGGTTGTATCCAGAAGGGGAGCTGAGCCCAACCAGGGGGGCTTCCCAACACCACCATCCCCATGGCTGTGTGGGTCAAGGTCTTCAGGCCATGCTGGACCTTGCCAGGACCTGATGGGGCTCCAGGAAAGCTGGGGAGGGACTTTTGACATGGGCAAGGAGTGATGGGAGAAGGGGGAATGGATTAAAACTGGAAAAGGGAGATTTAGGTGAGACATCAGGAAGAAATTCTTTGCTGTGAGGGTGGTGAGAGCCTGGCCCAGGTTGCCCAGGGAAGCTGTGGCTGCCCCATCCCTGGCAGTGTTGAAGGGCAGGTTGGATGGGGCTTGGAGCAGCCTGGGCTGGTGGGAGGTGTCCCTGCCCATGCAGGGGGTTGGATCTTGAAGGTCCCTTCCAGCCCAAGCCAGTCTGGGATTCTATGATGTGCATCAGAGCTCTGGGCTGCCACGGTGGGACTGGAAGAGGCTGTTTCTGTCTCCCCATCCTCATCATCACCTGCCTTGTCCTGCAGGGTCCCCCAGGCACTGTGGGCAGCCCAGGCAGGAGGGGAGCACCGGTGAGTAGAGATGTCTGATTTCTCTCCTTCCCTCTGCTTGGCTCTCCCAACCTGTCTCAGAGGCACGTCCATGGGTTGGGGTGCAGGTGATGGGTGGCTCTGATGGAGTGAGAGCAGCTGGGAGGTGCTGCAGTGGGTGCAGCTGCAGGCAGGGACCTGCTGGGCATGGTGCTGAGGGGTGAATGTCCAAAACAGCCCCAGCATCAAGCTCTGGGCTGGCAGCAAGTTTTCCCTCCTGCAGGACTTCTAGTCGTTCTTTCTCTTTGCTCTGAAATGCAGCAGAAAACAATAAATCTGACACTTCCCTCAAAACAAACCACGAAAAATGTTCTGCTCTGGGTCAGGGACATGCCCTGAGTTTGCTGCTCTCATGGCACGTGTGGGTATTGTGGGCACAGCCAGGAGGCTTGGAGGGGAACCCATGGGGCTGGTTTGAAGTGGGCAGCACCAGCACTGCCTGAGGCAAGGTTTGGACTGGTCTGGGACCACACACAGCCAGGGTAGGACCTTTCCATCCTTCCTTCTGCCTTCCCTCCAGCAGCCCTGTTCTTTCCTGCAGGGTTTTGCTGGTTTGCAGGGCAGCCATGGGCACGTGGGACCTCCTGGATCCACAGTAAGGAAACAGAATTGTTCCTCCTGCATTTCCTTAGGTGGGGAGCACTGGTGAGGGATATGGGACTTTCCCACCTTGGGAACCAGCAGGGGATCAGGGCACCTGTAGGATTTGATCTTGTTAAAAGACATTCAAGAGAGTCAGTGGTAGAAACAAGTGGAGCTGGGGGAGAGTAGATTCATTTCCCCAGGGAATCAGCCTGTCCAAGGGGCTTTCCCAAGCCCAGCAGGGGGGCTATGGGGGATGGAAGCCCCTGGAAACCCTTCACACCTGGGTGGATCAGTTTGTCCCATCCCAGGTGGCAAGGGGGGTGCAGGTTCAGGGAGGACAGTCCCATGTCCTTGCCCAGTGGGACAGAGGCAGCTCCTGCCTGAGAGCCTGCACTAAGCTGGGCTGGGTGATGACCCCAAGAGTGAGTATTGTCACCTTACCTGATGGTGCTGGTGTGCAGGAGCCACCAGGATGGGCCATGGTGGCAGAGTGTGTCCCCAGAAAACCCAGTTTGGACCAGTTGACTCCTCCCCATTAGCACAGAGGCAGCAGCAGTGACCCAGTGGGCCTTGTCTTGTCTCAGCTTTTTGACTGACACCCCCTCCCCAAATGTTTCCAAAGGGCTCTCTGGGAAAACCTGGACCTGATGGAAACCCAGGTTCCCTGGGCCCAAAGGTGAGAGCAGGATCATGCTGGTGGGGCTCGTTGGTGAGGAACAGCCAAGAGGGTCTTGGCTGCCATGGGGAGACCTGGGGGGGGGAATCCCTTGGGTTCAGCCGTGGGCACCAAGGGTGGGAAGACACCTGCCTGCATCCTGGGACCCAAGGGTCATTAATGCCTTTATCTTTCCTGGCAGGGGCTGCCTGGGAAGCCTGGCTTGGAGGGGCCCCAGGGACCTGTTGGCATCCATGTAAGTGATGGTCCAGCCCATGGAGAGGGTGTGGTGCTGTCTGCCTGTGGCTGGTCTGGGGGGATGCTGGTCTGGGGGGATGCTGGTCTGGGGGGATGCTGGTTTGGGAAATGCTGGTCTGGGGGGATGCTGGTTTGGGGAGATGCTGTTTTGGGGAGATGCTGTTTTGGGGAGATGCTCCCTGGAGCAGCCAGGACCTCACCCTCCTGCCAGGGCTCCTGCTGTGCCCAGGGTCCTGCCTTTCCCTGGGGGAGAGCTCAGCACCTGCCTTCTCCCAAACCCCCAGAGCTGCTGGGGTTCCCAGCTGCCCCCTAACCCCCTGCTCTCCCCAGGGCTACCCAGGACCTGCTGGTGACCGTGGGAGGCCAGGGCAGAGGGGAGACAAGGTAGGGCTGGGAAATCCAGCAGGGCAGCAAGGGGTGGGAGTCCAGGCTTTGGGAATGTTCTTGGGTTGGGCTGCAGAACCCAGTGGATGGATTTGGGTGGTGTCCATGAATAGTCTCCATCAGGCATGCCAGGGGGGTGGCAGGAGGAGAAGGGCTGGAGCTGGGTCCCACGTTGGGTGAACTGGTGGTTCTCCAGCACTTCATCTGCCCAGAGTCCTGTGGCTTGTTGTATGATGCCAGGCAAGCTGGGGTTTGGGTTTGCTTTTGGTTTGTTTTAAGAGATCAGCACATTCAAACGTGTGGAGGAAAGGAAACTTTTCTTGCCTCCTGACAGGGAGAAGCAGGAGCCCAGGGCCCTCCAGGATTTCCAGGAAAAGCTGGACCCAAGGTGAGAGCCCTGGGCAGCTCCATCCCTGCCAGAGAAGCACTGAGCAAGTTGCCTTTGCTGAGCTGGTTGTGGGAAAATGGGAAATCTTTGCTTCCAGCATCAAGGGGCTAAAGGTGGGAGAGGGGAGCAGCCAGAGCCATGGGCCAGGGCTCTGATGGTGCTTTCCCCTCCCTCAGGCCCTGCCAGGTCCCCCTGGTCCACGAGGTGCTCCTGGCTCCCAGGTAGGGCTGGCTGTGCCCAGCTGGCTCTGCTCCCCTAGGAGATAAACCCTGTGCTCCCACAGCACCAGCAGCGTGCAGCCCAGAGCCCTTTGTGGGAGCTGGCAGGACCCACCTCCCACTTGGCTGGGTCTGGTCCTGCTGCTGCACAGACATGGTTGAGGTGGCCCCAGGCACACGGGGACTGTCTGAGTGAGGTGTCCCCCCCTGCCTGGGGTCCCCTGTGCCTCCTGGCCACGGTCATGCTGCTGAACATCCTTCTTGTTTCAGGGCAGAGCGGGACAGCCAGGTCCTCCAGGGCTTCCAGGGCTGCCTGTAAGTGGGAGAGCTGGAGCTTGGAGTGAGGTTGGAGGCTGAGGTTGGGTGATGTCTGATAGGGGGTGCAAGAGAGGTCCTGCCCTCCAGACAGCTTCATCCCCGGGCTGGTGATGGGGCAGAGAACAACCCAAACCCTGCACGGGTAGCTGGGCGGTGACAAGTCAGGTTTGGGGACAGTAGTGATGAGGCATCAGGACCCACCAGGCACAGCTGGTCCCTTGTAGACCCCATGGTGGCCCCAGATGCATCAGGCATGGTGTTCCCACTGGCATTGCCCTCCTGAAGCTGCACCCTGTGCTGTGTTTTGGGGTGCTTAGTGTCTTTTTTGGGCTCGCAGGGTGTTCCCGGCGCGCGGGGGCCGGCGGGTGTTCCTGGGAAACCTGGCTCAGCAGGAGCAGTGGGAGCTCCTGGAGCCCCTGGAGCTGCTGGCCCTCCAGGGTACCCGGTGAGTGCAGATGGGGCTCCTTCACCTGCTGCACAACAAAACCTCCAAGCCGTTTTCTCTCCTCCAGTAGGACCCAGAGCAGCAATTCTGCTGGTCCAACACTTCCAAGGGAGCTCCCAAAAGCACCTGCGGGAAGAGGAGGAACAGGGAAGCTGGTGCAAGGAGCTGGAGAAGCCAGGAGTGGTTTCCCTGCCCGTGGGGACATGGTGTGCTGGGGCCTCCCAGCCCCTGCCACCCGTGCCCAGGAGCTGTGCAGCCCTCTGGAGTGAATTGCTGCTGATATGGGCTGTTTGTTTTCAGGGCCGGGAAGGTCCAAAGGGGCCTGAAGGGACTTTGGGGAGGAGAGGAGAGAAGGTAAGAGCAGACAAAGGTGAGTCTTGAGCTGCCTGGGCAGGCAGAGCCTTGGGGTCACTCTGCTTGCCCAAAATGGGGTTTTCTTCCCCAGAGCTGCAGGTGCAGTCACACCTCAGTTTGGCCACTGGTTTTGCCCAGTGGGATGGGGATTTAAGTGTCTGGTGCAAGGTGGGACAGAGCCTGGCAAGCAGGGTCTGTGGGGACCCTGAGTGGAAGCCCAGCAGGGCTGCCTGTCCTGACCTGAGTGTGTCCCCTGGCAGGGCCACGCGGGACATCCCGGGAGCCCTGGCATCAGGGGGCTGGATGGGGAGCAGGTAGGTCAGCTGGGAACCCCCCTTCCCTCCAGGGGCTGCTCCAACCTGCCTTCCCCAGGGCGGGAGGGGAGGTGGATGCTGATCCTCAGCTCATCCAGAAGAGGAAAGCTGTGTCCGTGGGCCAGGGGCTCTGAGGGATGTGATGTCCTTGGGCTGTGCCAGGGCTGGGATCTGTGTTTCCTCCCCCAGGGACCACCAGGACGGCCGGGATTGGAGGGTCAGCCAGGGCCCAAGGGCGAGCAGGTGGGTTCCAGTGGGTGCTGGGGGGGGCACAAGGCACAAGGTGACACAAGAAGGACATGGAGCTCATGGAGCAGGTCCAGAGGAGACCATGGAGATTATCCCAGGGCTGGAGCAGCTCTGCTTTGAAGCCAGGCTGGGAGAGTTGGGGTGTTCAGCCTGGAGAAGAGAAGGCTCCAGGGAGACCTTAGAGCAGCTTCCAGTGCCTGAAGGGGCTCCAGGAAAGCTGGGGAGGGACTTGGGACAAGGGCAGGGAGGGATGGGATGAGGAGGAGGGATTAAAAGTGGAAGAGGGGAGACTGAAGTGAGACATGAGGAAGAAATTCTTTGCTGTGAGGGTGGTGAGAGCCTGGCCCAGGTTGCCCAGGGAAGCTGTGGCTGCCCCATCCCTGGCAGTGTTGAAGGGCAGGTTGGATGGGGCTTGGAGCAGCCTGGGCTGCTGGGAGGTGTCCCTGCCCATGCAGGGGGTTGGAACTGGATGATCTTTAAAGTCTCTTCCAACCCAAGCCATAAGGATTCTGTGATGCCCCTGGGGACTCCTGGCCTAACTGCTGCAGGACCTGGCAGGCACCTGAACCATGTGGGGCTGTTTTAAATTTCACCCCCATCATCCTCATTCCTGTGGTTTTATGTTGCTGGGTGTGAGAGAAGAACCCAGGTCCCCCCAAAAGCTTGTGGGTACCTGGTACAAGAAAAGCTGGAGCAGCTGAGAAATGCTGGAGGGCAGAGCCAGGGCCAGCTGGAAAAGTCAGCCAAGAGTAATCCTGGTGATCTTTGTCCTGTCCAGGGAGAGGTGGGAACCTGTGGAGCTCCAGGCATCAGAGGGAGCCCTGGAGAACCAGGAGACAATGGGCCTGAGGGGCTACCAGGGAGGCCTGGGGGTCATGGAAAGGAGGTATGTGTGTTGGTGACACTGTGGTGGCCCCTGCTGCCCACTGGGCTCCTCTGCCAGGGGCTGGGGACAAGGACAGAGAAGGTCTGGCAGCTGCTGTCCTGGCTGCTGCTGGTGCCCCAGCCCTGCAGGGGGTCCCTGTGCTTTGGGGTCCCCGTGCTGGGGGGGCTGCTGCTGGGGGGGGGCTCAGCCCTTTGTCTTTGCTCACTTTGGGGCTATCATGGGTCACAGCTGGGGGTCCCCAGGGGGCAGGGGTCATCTCTTACCCAGCACCAACATCACAGGTAGAGGAGGGTGGGGAAGCCCCTGGAAGTCAGAGCTCAGGGTTTGACCCCCTGGGGAGCATCTGATGCTGGTGTTTCCCATCTGGGCAGGGTGATCCTGGTGATGCTGGAGGTCCTGGCGAGCCAGGAGCAGCAGGACAAAAGGTGAGGGGTGTCTCTAGCTCTGTCCCTTCTTGCAGCACCTCAGGGACACCCACAGCCTGCTCAGCCTCTGCTGTCGTGGGAGCAGAAGCACAAGAAGGGGGTCCCTGTGGGCTGAGGGCCCCTGGAGATGCAGGACTCCGACCTGGCATCCACC